GAACGGGGTTTCCGTAGGATGGCAAGGAAATCGCTGCACGATTATTGAAGATCTCGACCAGGTATTTAATGACAGGGAGTCACAAGACGAAACGTCGACACGCGAAACGGCGGCGTCTGGGATTGGATCAACACATTGGCATTATTTTGAACAGCTCCAAGCCAATGCCCAACGAGGAACCAGCAAGGCGATGGAATAGAACCGGCTTTATGGGGGGGTTTGTATAATATTGTAGAACAATCTCATACACCTCATAAAACACCGGGTGAGAAATAATAGCCAAAACGATTTATCGCATACAAGAGAGTGAAAAAAAGGATGGAGAAGAAAAAAAAAGCCCTGTACCCCTGGGGTAACCAGTCTGCCCGCCCTGCTATTTGTACAATGCAGAAGGAAATGTGTACACAGCAAATTGCCCAGTGCGGTAGCCCGCAGGAATCCCGAGTTTAACGCCAAAAAGGAGACACCTCAGCCCTTGATGAGTCCCCGTCTTCTTTCTATCCATACAAAGGAAAGTTAATAATATCAGTGGGCGCCACCGGCCCCAACAGTCGATGCTGGCAAACTTTTGCGTAGTACTACCCCTGTCCTCTTTCTCTCTAATATACTGCGACTCTCATGCCTGGCCGCCCATCCTCTCGCCGATGCTGTGTCCAGCCTCTCTCTCCCGTTCGTCTTTCCTGATCCACCTTCTTCCTCAAGTCTCCGTGTAAAGGTATCGTTGCTGGGCAATCCGGGCCCATATTTCCTTAAATAATGCTGTGGTGGGGTGAACTCCACAGAATTCAGACTTCAGTAAACATCCGCCCAACGCCAAGAATCATGCAAAGACCCGCAAGCTGCGACCGCAAGAGAAGGTCATCTCACGTCTTTGACTCGTTTGGCAGTTGCCTGCATTCTATGACCGGACAACAGCCACACAAAGATGACAAAGATGCTGAACAGGGTCACCCGAACAAAGTGCCGGATACGAAACCGCATCTTGGCATCGTGGACAAACAGGTTTGACAAGTCAGAAAGATCAAAGTCGGTGAGATACTTGATGTCGCAGTCTCTGATCTTGGGCTCGGCGTAGCTCCTGTACTCATCCACAATGGGGCTAAGCTCCCAGCCCGTGACCTTGCGGACCACGCCAACAACACATCCAGTGCGGTGCTGTAGCCATGTCAGTGAGTGGAAGAGTGCGACGATGATTGACGTCTACACACCTTGCCGTGGTTGCAGTGAATGAGTAGCGGGTGGTGTTCGCGGTTCAGGACTAGCCTCAGAATGGCCTTCATTGTCCGGATGGGGATGGCCTCCTTCTTTGTGCCCTTCATATTAAACACATGGTGACGGATGCCGTTGCCAGACATGAAGGCCGTGTAAGGCTCATCCACACCATCCTTCTGAACAAGGGTGCTGTCGAATTGGTCAGCACTCGGAGCTCGGTGAAACATGAGTAATTGGGGATGGCTTACACAATGGACTTCAAGCCAAGATTCCGAATAAAGCCGAAATCCTCGGGCTTGGGATAGCTACTGCGGTAAACACCAGGAACAACGACGCCAAAGTTGATGGGTCTCCCATCGATGGGCAAGATTCGCTCTATACTCGGAAAAATCGGCGAGGCCAGGGGCGTCTTTAGCTGGTCGGCAACTTTTGTGAGTGCATCGTTGAACCGCGCCGAACTCTCCTCCGCAGGGACGACTGCCTTGGGTTTCTCGTCTTCCACAACCATAACTATTTGCTTCTGGACAAAGCCGTCAACCGCAGAGTCGGGAGCGGTCGCAGACTCGCGCGAGCCTCGTCGTGACGGGCTTCTGGCCTGGTACTTGTCGGCCAGCTCGAGGGGAACAGAGTCTTCTTGCTTGGAATTGCGCCTTGCCGGGCGGTAGGCGGGATCTTCTTCTGGGTGGCCGCCTTCGTCTTCAAGGAACAGTCTTGTACTCCTTTTCGAGACCATCGCACCAGCCATGTCGGGCGGGTTTGTGCAAGTGACTGGTAGAGGTCGCGGTAGAGAGACAGAGAGAGAAGGAGAGAGGGGGGGAGAGGAAGAGGTTTGCTCGCGTGACTGATTGGGATGCTTTTTCGGGGTTCGTGGGGTGGTATAGTTCAGCGGTACTCCAGTAGGATGAAGGTTAGGAATGGGTAAGAGGTTGTGAGCAGGTCGGAATAGCGTTTGATTCGGGTTATTCAAGTTCGACTGAACAGCGTGCAATGGTTGGATTTCCTCCCGTGGGACAAGAGGCAGTTGTTGAAAGATTGTCCCTTCGCGTGTCTTTACAGACAGACGCAGACCTGGCGGACGGCAAGTTGGAGATTGAGGTCCATCTTGTCGAGTGCGCGGGTAAGGGTAGTCAGTGATGTTGGTTGTGTCGCAGGCGGGCGACCGGTTGGGTGATGCTCGCAAGGGCCCTCGGTGATGAATTTGGACGAGGCGGGCGTGGAAGCGAGAGTATTGGATGAGGGAAGAGAGGCAGATGCAAGGTGAGAGGGAAAAAAGGACCCTGGGGAAGCAGGCGGGAGTAGCGGGTTAGTAAATGTGTATCGTAATCTGATGCGTGTGGTGGGATGGAGGATCCGCCGCGCTGCGATGGTCGAAGTGGGAAAGGGATGTGGGTGCGTCAGGAAGAAGCGGCGCGGGTGGAATGCTCGGTCGGGTACACCATCGTAAGGTATAGATGCTCAGTAAAGAGGGGGCGATGTACTTGTAATGGCGTACCTTACTCGCATGGCAGGTCGAGGCGGGTAGGCAAGGAAGAGAGTGGACGGACAGGTAGGGGAGTGGGCGTACGGTACCTGGGATATTGCTTGACTTGGCTTCGTGGAATTGCTTGGCCAAGACGAGATGAGGTGAAATGGGGAGATCTGCCTTGAGGCTTGTCTCAGGTTCAAGACTCAAGTATTGGCTGAATAGTCTGGGGGGGGAAGAGAGAATGGCCGTTCAAGTGGGGGACGAAGAGGAAGAGAGAGGAAGAGAGGGGAGGCAAGGGACATAGGTAGACTACAGCGGAGGACTGAGGGGACAAGGCCAGGCCTGGAGGAAAGGAAAAGAAGCACGGGGGCCTTCCAGAATACCTCCAAAGGTTCAGATAGATACGCGCACTCTAATTAATGATACTTTGCTATGTTAGAGGTCGAGCGGACATGGTGTGGGTGGCGGTGGCATCACATCACAGGATTTGGGGAACAGAGACACCAAAAGTCTATGGCCTACTGAGAACTGGACAAAGGAAGACAGAGAAACAGAGAAACAGAGAGGGAGACACAGAAACAGCGAGGAGGGTGAGGGAGAGGAACGGCCTGATTCGGGTTTGACAGGCAAGGAAAAGTACAATACGGAGTATAGAGAAGGAAAAAAAAAAAGGCTAAGAAAAAAAAAGAGAAATCTAAAGGTACCACTCGGGACAATGCAATGCACAAAGGTGACATGCCCTCCAGGGTATGGCGGGTGGGCTGGACTCGGCGCCCACTCGCGACCACTGCAGTCCTCAGGCCAGACGACGGTCTGAAGACAGGGTACGCAGGTCGGCGGAATGCTGCCAACCATATAGGTACCGGTAGACCACGCACTTTGTACCTTTTCTCACGCAAAAGCATATGAAGATACAATTCAGCCTAGTGTGGGGACGCCTACCTGCCTAGTGTACTGCCTAAACCACAAACGAGCAAGGTGCAAAAGAGTACGTACCGTGTATCTTTTCTCTACCTATACCTACGGAGTACGGATACAGTATATGGATCACAGTACTTGTATTCATAGCACAGAGTCCATTTCGACATGTGTAAGAATCATGCGTGCCTAGTGAAGTGTACTCTATACATCCATTGTTTACCGCTCAATGGCAATGTATCTGAGCGTCTAGGATGTATCTTGTTGATTTCAACTGTCATAGTGGAGGTAGGTTTCTACCGGTACCTACCTAGGCACCTAGGTATCCAGTACGTACCCTCTTGCTCCGGCTACCATGAACAAAACACTGGGGAGAACCCATCGTCAACATCATAACTTGCACCAACCCGGCCAAACGGATGCATTGGGGACCACCCGCTGGCCGTGCAACGAGATGCGAGAGAAGATCAAACTGCCCCATTTGCCCTCTCCCCAAACCGGGCCCCTTAACGTCTGCCACGACGGACGGGTGGGCTCAGTCGTCAACTGTGACCAGAGACATAGACCGCCAAGCCAACAGCAAACGACAACGACACTGCGAGGCTCGCAGATCGAAAGAGTGGTGCGATACGAAAACACAGGAGAGGTGCCGGGAGGCGATCCGTCCGCGTCGCAGCCACAGATCGACATAAAATGGGCAATAGAAAAAACATTGACGTTCAGCCACCGGGAGAGGAAGGCGGCGTCCTGGCTTTCTGCAGCCTGCAGGCCAGACGCCGGCTCCTTCAGCTTCTGCCACTCACACAATGTACATCAGCCAAGGTACGTACGGTTCCAAGGCGGCGGTTGCTTCAGCCGTGGTTGCACCGTCTCCCTCCGAGCCAACGATTAACTCCGAGGTGCGAGTGGCGGTTTACCACACGACGGCCTCGATCTAAAGCCGACAGCATTAAAGATGGACAGGCGCGTGCTACAAAGAAGGCTATACGCGTACTACTATGTACACTGTATACTAGCTGTGCTGGTGGGTACCTACCTAGGTAGGGAATGCACAGCTGCTCTCCCGAGTCCGGTCCCTGCGAAGTGGTGTCGTCCGGATACATTCAGCCACCCCAAAGCAGGCCCTCTGCATCGCCGCCCACGTCCGTCTGGTCATCCTGCGTCTCTGTCGTGCCATGTCAAGAGGACCACCAGTCATTTGGACCGTTAGCCACGACGACAACCTCGCCATGCTGCCAATCACCCCCAGCCCGTCCCTTTCCGTCTCTCTCCCTTGGGGCACCCATACACCATAGGCCTGCCATCAACATATCCCCAATCTCGAAGGATCCGTCTCGCCTCGTCTTGCCCCGTTCCGAGTCTCACCTTGCCTCACCTTGCTTCCTAGTGTCGCCATACTTTGCAAACAAGCTCATAGACCGACTCCAGGGCGCCATTCCAGAGAATTCACCCCATGTCGATGGGAACAATGACCGTCCTCAGTGCTTGTCATACGTCATATACAGATTATACACACAGCATGGGTAATCACTTACGAAACTTCTCCCGCACAGGGTCGGCCGAGCGTTAGGGGGGGGGTTGGTTGACAAGCACGCTACAGTATGATGGCTATGATGATGACAGGCTGCGTCAGCTGGGGGTCGGAAATGCCACCAAAGCCGCCTCGGACTCTCTCGTACCGTACCACTGGTACCTACTGCCTGCCAGCAGCAAGAAAAAAGGGAGAGACAAAAAAAGAAATGCAAAACTCGACACATTCCGTGGCTCATTACCTCACCAGCCCTCTCTCTCTCTCCCAACCTTGGTTACGCCTCCATGTCACGGAATCGGTGACGCTGCCAACCCTAGCCGGATTCAAGGAAGAAGGCACTACTGGTCTCTGGTTCTCCTCCCCCTACTCTAGGGACCCGGCATCATTACAAGGTCACCTGGGTGTCAGCACGACGGATGCGTCTCTTGTGAGTGCACAATTGTGTGTACTGTATTGTACTGCATTGTACTGTACATTTTGTGTTGTGCGCATTCAACGGCGACACGTGGGGACCCGCGATATCATCGCGTCCGTTCCCTGGCGGGTTCCATTCGGGCCGCTGAGCTGAAATCACTCACCGAAACCCTCACCCTTTCACCCTGCCAGTCGGACCAAGTCGCCTATTCGGCACCGAGCAAAGGGGGAAAAATAAAAATAGTTCCAATCTCGTCTCTCTCTCTCTCTCTCTCTCTCTTTTGCGCGCGCTATCTGTGCGTCTGACATCTGGGCGACAGGTAACCCCCAAAACGTGAAGAAGCGTCAACTCCTCCCAAAGTCGTCGCCGCCTCCCCAGCGGTTCCTACCCCTATTTTTTTTTTTATCTATTTCCCCCCCCCCGCATCAATGCCTATCCCGTGTCTTTTTGCAACACCTTCATGCGCTCCAATATCGGACTTGTGTCCCGGAAGACCCAAAATTGTTTCTATCCTATTGAATTTTTGTTGGGTGAACAGAATTGGAGCGCACAAATAGGTAACAGGATCGCAATGATGTTGACGACCAAGAAACACCCCCTTGCCCTGAGAATTATAGTTGAACTATAGTTGACACATGATTCCTGTCCACACACCTCCCCAAACCCTCCGCGTAGAACTAGAACGCGATTGCTGGGGCCGACTCGTGAAACACCACAGAGAGAGAGAGAGAGAGAGCCCAGAGCTTGTTCCAGTCGAGGGCGCCCTAGTGTTTAGCCCGCACAACATGGAGCCATAGGCGACGTGTGACGGGCAATGACGGGGCGCGCCTGTCTCTCCCTGCGTCCCCAGCCCCGCGGCTTCTAGCTCGTTCCCCGTGGCGTCGCTCCAGCTCGGATAGGGATAGCGAGGGCCTCATCAGTAAATGTTTGTCTCCCCATCCCAGTCTGGTATCTGCCAAGTCAGCCTCTTTCCTGTTATTTTGACAGCGCTGCCAACGGCCCCAGGTCTGCCGAAGTAAAGCCATCCCTCCCCCCCTCTGTGCATCACACCACATCGTGAAGCTAGAGATAACAAACGCACAGGTGGTGTGGTTGGGGGTGGGGGTACATATTGCGCTCACGTGTGTGGGAACAGAATGACAAGTACGAGTGGATAGTGAAATGCCGGATGGCGCGCTCGAAGTTGGTGAGGAAGAAAAAAAAAAGGTAGCTCTTCCACCCGTCCGCCCAGGCTGCTGTGCTGTGTCGCCGTTCGATGCCATGCTATCTAGACCTTTCCAAACCATTTAGGAAGAAACAAACCGGCGGACGGCCGCAGCAGACTCCTGATGTTGTTGTTGTTTTGTTGTTGTTGTTGTTGTAGAATCCGTCCGCACGCAGCTCGGATGATGTTTGTCTCCGATCCTCATGATGTAGCCCTATCCCAATGTATATAACGCCTGTAAACAAACGCCAATCAGTGCTTTGTGTTACTCATCTCATATATGCTCCTCCCCGAACAAGTCGGATGGGTCCAGTTCGCTCTCGCTTCTCCCCGATCTCTTAACAAGCAGCATTCCACATCTCGTGCGCGAGCATCGCGCCAATGACAGAGGCGCCCTGCACGCTCGATGTCGGCGTGCGGTTGCCCCAGATCTGGAGCGCAAAGTGACATGCCACCGCCACCTCGCCAATGCCTAGCGACGTGTTCACAATGGATGCCCAACTGGCTGTCCTCTCGTTGCGCATGTCCTTGATCGCGTCGCCCGTGAGGTGGATGGCAATGGCCGTGCTGAGAACCATGGCGCCAAACATCACGTCCCGACTGTACGGGTATGACGCTGAAGTCGCGTGGAGCCATGCGCCGAGGACGATCGCCAAGGTGAACACGTCCAGCAGCCGGTTGTTGCGCAGACCGCCCGTTCTCGCCAAGGGCCCGGCGCTGGCAGGCCCAGCGTTGTGGTTTCCTGTTTCACCCTCCTCTCCATCTTCAGGCTCGTCCTGACTCAGCGTAAAACTCGTGTTGAGCAGGTCCGCCAACGTGCTGCGCGGGTCGCTGGGGTTGGACGTCGATGGTGCGAAGAACTTGGGCTCCGCAAATGCCACCTTGCTCGCGCCCCCGTTTTCGTCATTGGTCGGCGCATTTCTTCCGGATGCGTTCGGGCTGCCGATGGAGAAGATGGACTTGTTTTCGACCGGTTTCGCGAGTATCTTGGGCCCGTTGCGGAGCCTTTGCGCTGGCGTGATGGGCGCTGGGGGTACCTTGTACCAGAACGGGCTGGAAGTCGGACCCGGATCAGGCTGACCGAATACCTGGTTCGGTGCCTTTGGGGGCCCAAAATCGTTGAAAGCGCGGTGCTTCGATTGCGTCGGCGACCAGTCCATCTCCTCTGCGTATTCCGGCTGAGGTGGCTTCTGTGGTGTGCCCAAGCCCATGTTGCGGGCGCTCGTTCGATGCTGCAATTCTCTCTGGAAGAGTGCCGGTGAACCAGAGCCAACACTGGTCGGGCTTGGGGGAATTGCTGGCGCAGGCCCGGACTCGGCCAATATATCATCCAATAGGTTTGCCATGTTCTTGTTGTCATCCCCACGGAGCTGTGATTTTTGTTGCGGCCTTGGCGGTGATGCCATAGGCGTGCTGGTGGTCTGAAAAAGCGGCGTCGTATCGATGCGGACGGATCGTTGTGCAAGGACGTATATCTAGGGTCAGAATGAGCAATGCCTTCATAATAACAGAGGCTGATGGTACTCACCGTCAGCATGAGAGCCGCCATCAAGCCGTGGAGGCTCATTTGGGCGCTGTCTTTAGCCGCGCGACCCCCCTTCAGTTCTGTCATTCTCATGGCCAGGAATCTCGTAAACAAGATGAGTCCCTGGAAAGTGTACCAGTGCGAGAGCCCAATGATATGCCGGGAGAAGCCCCGGAACACCTGGACGAACTTGGGATTCCACCAGACGCTGACGACATTCGCCCACAAGCTCCAGTGTATCAGCCGCTCCGGACTCGGAAGGAGTAGTGTCAACGCAATAGAGAGCCTCTGGGCGATGGTTGATTCGGCATCGGGGTCTCGCATCGGACCTTCGTCCACGTGCCGCCCAAAGACAATTACCAGGGAGGCAACGTGCCACATGTATTGACATGCGATTCCTCCGAGCCAAAGCCATTTTCCGACCTTGGCCGCGAATTCCAATGGCGTCAGTCGCTTAGGTGCGACTCGGTTCTTCCTGCTCCTATCCATCATGCGTCGCAGGTGGTCGGTCCTGGCCGTGTATCCAGCGTGATCAAGCTGGGCTTGAACCTTAGGCTCGCACTGGGCGCATATCTGAGGGTATCTCTGTTCCAGCCGCCGGCGGAACTTGTACATGTTCCTTTCCAATTCGGCATAGTCGGGGTGATCAGGGTCGTCGGGAAGATATTGCGCCAGGGAGCTGGTAAACAGGTGTTGGTTCTTGAGACATGTCGGACAGAAGATACTCTGTGACGGGCTCGTGAAGTCGGGGGAATGGGATCGCGCCGTCGCATATGTCGTAGTAGCAGGCACAGAGGTTGTCTTGGCCACTGGCGGGTCGGTAATGTCTCCTTGCTGTGGATCGTCAGATGGAGTCGGGATGCGCGAGGCGCAAGACGCGATGCGCCGCGGGGTGACTTGCCTCGTCTAGATAGTTGTTCGCATCGCAATAGAGACAGAGGAACTCGCGAATCAAGCCATCATACCTCGTTGATGAGCGTTTTCCGCAGTAGAAGCAGGTTAACAACCTGCCATTCCTCAGCTTGGCCATGTCGTATTGAGGTTCAAGGCTCCTCGGGCCGTGCAAAGCATTTATTATGTAGGCGGACAGCTGTGTGTCCTCTCAATTGTTGCCGCCAGGAACTTTCTGGGTTCTGCCGGGCGGTCTAGGGTGGTGTTCCTGGGTGAACGCAGGGGAACGTGCAAGGGTCTCTCAGCGGACTGGCAGGAGAATGAGGTCATGCACTCTCTTTATCGACTGCATTTCTTCTGTCAGAACCTACCTAGGTACATACATAGGTACCCAGTTATAGATAGGATGCGCTAACAAACCACGACAGATTGCAGCTGCCACCACCTTAGCCTTAGTATGCATATCCCGTAGGGGCTTGTAGAGCACCCCACAACTGCTTAGGTAGTGATAACTGGGGCGCTGTAAACTGCGCATTAACAGCCATTGGCTTGGCCTTATTTTCACTATACTTCACCTCAAAATTCAAGAAGGGCGCCATACTTGACCAGTCTTCACAAAGAGAGGGCTCCCCTTTGGGAAACACTGCGGCCTCAAAGAGACTGTGTTGGAGACGTGTGTGCAGGGAATTTTATGGCCACTCATTAGCAAGACCAAACTGAGAAGGCAAGCTTCACTTGCTCAATTTGCTGGTGAGTTGCCTGGAGATGTTCACAACACGTTGCTGATATAGCCCCAGAACCCGGACGTATTTCATCGTCACTCTTCGAAAAGTCAGGGATTGAAACATACTGAGGGGCTTGATTCCATAGAACTCCTTCATCATGGCAACCGCATCTACTTTGGTCGGCATCGCCTCTGCTTTCTGTGCGCTTGGCTTGGGGCTTATGTTGCGTTCCTCTTGGAGGGCCTCACTTGTAACTCTCCTCTTGGGTGTCATATCGCTCCTCATCTTCGTCACGGTATATATAACCCCAAAATCAAGCATCATATTTCATTATCCACTAATCCTACATAGGCCCGTCATCTTCAGCTTCAACAAAACCGACTGAGACGTCCTGTCTTATTGTCCGATATTGTTGTCAAAGACCCCACAAGCCTTGGCCTTCTGAAAGGAGCCTACTTCCTGGTCGTGCTGGGCTCTGGTGGTCATACGAAAGAGATGCTCGCCATGATGGAGATTGGTTTCCCAAACGTACCCAGCATGCATCGACGCTATCTCATATCCAGCGGCGACTCCATGTCTCTTAAACATCTCGAGGCTTTCGAGGGTCACCTCAAGAGCGCTCATGGAGAAGAGCAAGTCGGAAGCTACGACAAGTACATCGTTGCAAGGGCCCGGAAGATACACCAGAGCCTCCTCACAACACCCTTTACCGCCTTACTGTCCGTTACCCAGATCTTTCCGCTGCTGCTGTCGTCCCCATTCAAGGGCGTAAGAAGCCGCCAACAGTTCCCCGATGTTATCCTCACCAACGGCCCAGCCACGGGCTTCATAGTCGGACTGGTCGCTTATCTCCTCAAGTTGTTTTTCATCGTACCCGAGGATACAATGCAAGTTCTTTACATCGAGTCCTGGGCACGAATCCGCACTCTGAGCCTGACCGGTAAACTGTTCCACCGTACCGGTGTTGCTGATTTGCTGTTGGTCCAGCATGAGAAGGTGGCCAAGGCATATGGTGTTACGAATGCAGGCTGCATGGTGGTAAAGAGGACGAGGTGACATACAGCCTCGAAAAAGGGCATGATTGTAATTGGGGGGAAATCCAAGAACGAGATCGATCAAGTTGGTCGACAAACGACTTTACAGCTCGAACAGACAGAGGCATATTGCCATTGTGCACTTTTTGATGTGCCCGTATTGTACATGGGAGTTTCGTATTACATACACTTACAGGAACCGCAGCACCTCTGCTCAAACCAACGTCGATTCTGCAGCCGCTTCGGCGTCCGCTTCCTCGCCAAAGGTCGCCAAGTGGGGACTCTGGTTCTGCTCCAACGCGGCCGTCCGCTTGCCCGCCCAGCCCTTCCAACCCTCAAACTCTTTGTCTTCAAGGTCCATGCTGATCTGGAGCCTGTTCTTGCCAAAGTACGCCCCCACGTGTCTGGCCTCCTCCCTAGCGACGCGCTTCTCGATCTCCTCCTCCTGACGCAGCGCATAGAATTCCTTTCTTGCGACATCGTAGGCTTGGTCACGTTGAAGGTCGGCGTTCTGCATGAGCCAGAGCTGGCGCTGCACGACACTACACCTCTGGAGTTAGTTACCTGCGTCCTGAATCGACTTGCATATTCTAGTCAGACTCACCTTTCGCCGGTCAGGGGCAGACCAGGCTGGCGCAGCCCCCTGGCCCAGTCGCATCTCTGCGCGTCCTTTCCATCTGACTCAAGGATTATTCTCGGGCGTGCCAACTCCCAAGGGTGGTCTCTGTAAAATGTCGCGCGCAGACGATCCTCCGGGTGCGTTATTTTCGGGGGCTTGTAGATGTTGCTTGGCTTGCGCAGCTTGCGGTTGTTGGACCATTTCTGGACGGCGATGGGCCTCGTGAGGATCTCGGAAGGCGGAATGTCTCTCATGACCTGGAACCATGGCGGTTCCTGGACGGGAAAGCCGGGTAGAAACTTCGTGGTGAGCTCCTGGCTCACAGCCTGGTAGATCCGGCCGGGCCTTATTTGTCGACCCATTCTGGCCTGAAGGATGTCGTCAGAATCGAGATTCCCGTATTGCCCCCGAGGATGGAGGCTCACTGGTTACGGTCAATGCAGCAACGGCAGGGCGAGGGTTGCTGTCGTCGGAATGCTGGTCGAGATCCTGAGTTCCCATTAATCGAGAAGCGTAGCTCACAAATTTGGAGCGTCGGCCAATCCTAACGCCGTTCCCGGCTCTACCTTGCGGCCCCACTTAACCAATGTGCGAAATAATAGTTCGCAAAGCTATTTGGTCAATTTGCAGCTCTTTATAACCAGCACCGATACTTTGTTTTCCCCCCTGCCAGCGACCTTGCGCTCTTCAATGGAACGGTGATACACTGGACCGCAATGCCCGACAGCCCATGCGAATACTAAGCCGGATTGACGGGTCTGTCTGCGGCGCGATCCTCTCGACTCCACATCCCGCGACCAGAGGTGCAGTTTCCTCTCGGGTGAAGCTTCGAACAAACAGATCTCCGGGGGCGCCGGTCACCCAATTTCGACGAGACCATACACGATGTCCTCGACGGCCAGTTATCCAATGTTCACAGACGGCCTCGTGGCTGCTGTTGACCTTTCTGCCGGCGCCCTCGAGCCGCCCCCGTTCTTCAACGTACTCGAACCTACATTGCCGCGAACGCGTCCGGTGGCATAGTCAATTTACCGCCGCCACAGCTGCTTTTGATCCTCAGTCTGAAAAATTGGCCTTCCAGAAAAGGAAAAGACAGCTTCTTTCATTCATGGATCACCGAGACGTTGGGACTGTAAATGAGCATCTAGAGCTTGTTGATGATCCTTTTCTCAACAGGTATGCCCAGCCGGAACACGCAAAACTTATGATCTCGGACAAAGACGACGATGCGCGGTGCTTGCCACCGAATGAATATCTTGGCGACAAAACCACTGCGCAAATTGCACATTCGTTGGGAATTATCCTCAACCGCAGGCTGAGAAATAAGAAAGGCAGCGTGAACGAAATATACGAAACGTACACCGCATTGCCTGAGCCCCGGATGATATACTTGAATAAACGGTACCGCCACCGTTTACTCAAGGTATGCGGCAGAGAGTCAAGAAAGGGAATCAAAGAAATGCTGCGATACTTCTCGCTCATAGAGGATCTCAAGGACTGCGGCATAAGCATCCGGCGCAACGAATGGAATTATGCTCTCGCTGCTGCCACCAAATTTGTTGGTAAAACCACCGAGGCGGAGGCAGAGTTTGCTCTTCAGCTGTGGAAGGAAATGGAGGTCCACAAGCGCGCCACGCCCAACTCCGTCACGTTTAACATTCTCTTCGATGCTGCGTCAAAGTCCGGCAATTACACATTGGCCGATATGCTGTACAAGGAGATGAAGGCACGAGGCATCCCGTTCAACCGATACCATTACGTGAGCCTCATTCATTTTTTCGGGCTCCAGGAGGATGCCGACGGCGTCCGGGCGGTCTACAAGGAGATGGTGCAAGCTGGAGAAACGGTCGACACGGTGGTGTTGAATTGCATCATCTTCGGCTTTCTTAGATGTGGCGAAGACAAGGCGGTGCTGCGGGTTTACGAATACATGAAAGAGACTCGCTCGAAACATGTCTTTGAAAAGCCAAGCACGACAGAAGTCGACGTTCAGCGCCAGCAGCAAATCGCAGACGTCACACCTGATTTCCGGACATTTCGCATCCTCATCAATTACTTCGGCGCCCAGAGAGGCGACCTTGCCCAGGTCGCCATCTTTCTCAATGAGATGAAGGCGTTCAACATACCGATGCATGGTAGCATCTTCTTGGCCCTTTTCCAAGGGTTCATGCGGTATGGAAACGTTATATTCACCGAGTGGACACCCGCCCGGTTAGAGAACATTCTGTCTGCACTGCTGCAGGCGCTTGATAACCAAGTCCAGGGTCTCTATCTTGATACCTGGCTCATGATGTGGGCGCTCCGGGCTTTCATGAAATGTACAAACAAGGAAAGAACAATGGAAGTGTACGAAGAGTTTGGGAAGCGGTGGAATCTGGCGACCGACAAGGTGGATCACATGGAGAGTTATGTGGCGAGGCTTTTTGACGACAAGGACCCGACGCCCTCCCTGAAGGACATGCCCCAGGCGGTCAGACAGCGACAGCCTGTGTAAGATACTCATAGACAATGATACCAATAATCTCGCCCGCTGTAGCCTGCGCTCCAGAGCACACTGGCGGTCTATTCACCCCATACCATAGTACATGCCGCACGCGGCTGTCTCGCACGTTTATTTGGCAAATTGGGGTAGCGAAGGCCCCAATTAACGACGAGATGCTGCAAGTTCGTGAAGCGTAGGACTCGGTAGGTAATCGCTGAGGACGAAAAGTCTCTATTTCTGGTTATGTACATAGTCGTCCTCCGCCCCAACGTCCCAATCTATGCTGTACACTTGCAATCGACTCAAGGAAACAAGTATGTGGCCGCTTAAACCTTGGGCTTGTTGCTTTGCCAGACTGAAAAGCTCGTCAGTATACTCGAGTTCGGAGCAATGGGGGGGGAAAGCACGCACCGGCGATGCCGAAGGGGGTGAAAAAGCCAACGGCAGAGTAGGTCCAGAAACCGGCGCCGAACCACTTGGACTTGGGGTTGAAGGGGATGTTGGAGTAGGGACCCTCGGGGTAGTGGTAGGGCGAGGACATCTGGGCGCGGGTGGTCTGGAAGCCGCGGCGGGCGACAACGGTGCGAGTCTGGGGGACCGCGCGGGCGGCGGCACGAGCGAGCATCTACAGAGGGCCGGTCAGCATCAATTGGGCGGGCAGCGGGGTTCGGCAGGTTGGACGTACTTTGGCGGCGGGTTTTGAGGCGATCGCGAGGCGCAATGAGGGCAGGGGGTGATGTAGTTGTGGTGTTGAAGTCATACAAATGTGGTCTGAGGGCGTGATTCGGCGAAGCTCCAAAGAATCTCCAAGTCTCGACATATTACGTAATTACACGTGACACTGAGACCGAATGGCCCAGTCCCGCACCTGGGATTTCGAAGTCTGCATCCGGCGTGACCGCCTTCCCTGCCTGGTGCGCTGGCTCCAGTCTTCCATCGTCCACTCCTTGGAATTTTTTTTTCTGCCTTTTCCTGTCTTTGCTCACCCGCCAACTTTTCCCCGGAGCGTCTGGAGTGGGAATCGCGACCGCCGCACATCGCTGGGACCAGTCAAAATTGACGAAGCCCCCGTCACGTCTCAACAGCACGAGTTCGCAGAGGCGGTTCCCTGCTGCCCGATCCCCTTTGATCGTCTACAGTCGTGCCTATTTATTACAAGGCGGTTTACTTCCATTAACTACGGTTTCTCTATCTGCAATCCCCTTCAAATACCAATAGGACAGAACCTTTGCTGCCACCGCAGTTTCTTTTGTCTCCTCGGCTTGGCAACAAGCAGTCGCCTACCATGGACGAGCTTTTCGACGTCTTCGATGCCAAACCCGACGCGGAGCAGCCCGAGTCGCATAGCGAGCCTGAAACCGCTGAGCCTTCTAAGAAGTCGCGTAAGAGGGAAAAGAAGAGCAACAAGCGCAAGGCCGACGGCGCAATCAAGAATGGCGTGGTCGTCAAGCAAGATGATGCTGAGATGGCCGACGCCGATGAGGTCTCTAAGGACGGCCACGGTGGGGAGCAAGCCGAAGACGCCCGTTCGACCTCTGAGGAGCAGGAGGAGAGCCACAAGCGACGGAAGAAGGAAGACGAAGCCCAGCCTGTCTTGACAGATACCTTCCAGACTGCCCAGTCGAGAGAGGTCGCCAGTGCCGCCATTTTCACCCAGGCACAGGATGAGGCCCTTGTTTTGTCCCACAACATCCAGCATCAGGTTGCCCTGCCCCCTGACCTGGATTATGAATACGTCCCGCTGTCCGAGCATAAGCCGCCCGCCGAGCCCGCGCGCAAGTACAACTTCAAGCTGGACCCTTTCCAGAGTTTGTCGGTCGCCTCCATCGAGAGAGAGGAGAGCGTGCTGGTTTCTGCCCATACCTCTGCTGGAAAAACCGTCGTTGCCGAGTACGCCATTGCCCAATGCTTGAAGCGCAACCAGAGAGTCATCTACACCAGTCCCATCAAGGCTCTTTCCAACCAGAAATACCGAGATTTCGAAGCACTGTTCGGCGACGTCGGCCTCATGACTGGTGACGTCACCATCAACCCTACTGCAAGTTGCCTGGTCATGACCACCGAAATTCTGCGATCCATGTTGTACCGCGGCTCCGAGATCATGCGCGAGGTTGCCTGGGTTGTCTTCGACGAGATTCACTACATGCGCGACAAGACCAGAGGTGTGGTTTGGGAAGAGACCATCATCCTGCTTCCCGATAAGGTTCGATATGTTTTCCTGTCTGCCACCATTCCGAACGCCTTCCAGTTCGCCGAATGGATCGCCAAAATCCACCATCAGGCGTGTCACGTTGTCTACACCGACTTCCGACCCACGCCCCTCCAGAATTATTTCTTCCCTGCCGGTGGCAATGGTATCTTTTTGGTTGTGGACGAGAAGGGCGTCTTCAGAGAGGGTAACTTCCAAAAGACTATGTCCCTGATCGAGCAGGGCAAGGGACAAGACCCCAATAATGCCGGCGCAAGCTGGAAGGGCAAAGGGGCCAAGAAGCAGACCCAGAAGGGTGGAGCAGCGGCTGACATGAAAGCCGACATATCCAAGATTGTCCGCATGATTATGCAGAAAAGCTTCCATCCCGTCATCATCTTCAACTTCAGCAAGAAGGAGGTCGAGAACCTGGCTCTACAGATCTCTCACTTCCAGTTCAACAATGACTCGGAGCAGGCCATGGTCAAGACCGTCTTCAACAACGCCATCCAGAGCTTGTCCGAAGCCGACCGCGAGCTGCCTCAGATCCAGAACCTGCTCCCTCTTTTGCAAAAGGGTATTGGTGTGCATCACTCTGGCCTTCTGCCTATTTTGAAGGAGACCATTGAGATCCTCTTCCAAGAGTCTCTCATCAAGGTGCTCGTTGCGACTGAGACCTTCTCCATTGGTCTTAACATGCCTGCCAAGACCGTTGTCTTTACCCAGGTTACAAAGTGGGACGGTACTCAGCGGAGACCTCTCACACCCTCCGAGTACATCCAGATGTCTGGGCGTGCTGGTCGTAGAGGCTTGGACTCTCGCGGTATTGTCATCATGATGATAGACGACAAGATGGAGCCCGATACTGCGCGCGCTATTGTTGTCGGCGAGCAAGATCGCCTCAACTCCGCCTTCTACCTCGGCTACAACATGATCCTGAACCTGCTCCGAATCGAGGCCATTTCCCCCGAGTTTATGCTTGAGCGCTGCTTCCATCAGTTCCAAACTGGCGCCAGCGTCCCGACCCTGGAGCGCGATCTCATGGCACTCCAGCAAGAGAGGGACAGCATGTCGATCGCTGATGAGGCCACCGTCAAGGATTACTACAACCTGCGCAACCAGCTGGAGCAGTATACCAGCGATATGCGTGCTGTTATTCAACATCCTGAGCACTGCATTGACTTCATGCAGCCTGGTCGTCTGGTTCGCATTCATGATCCCAAGAAGACCAACAATACCATCGGAGGTACCGACTTCGGCTGGGGTGTTGTTACAAACCTAGTCCGACGCCAACAACGCAAGCCCACAGAGCCCGAATATCCTCCTCAAGAGTCCTGCGTCATTGATGTCATGATGGTCGTGGACCGCAATAGCGCCCCTATCGCTGAAGGTGCCAAGCTGATTTCCGGAGACCTCCCTTCAGGGCTGGTTCCTTATCCCAAGCCCGAACAACCTGGCAACGGGGCTCGCTTCGAGATTGTGCCCTGTCTCTTGACTTGCGTCAAGGCCATCAGTCAAATCAGGGTCTTCATGCCAAAGGACTGCAAGTCACAGGCGGCTCTCGAGGAAGTCGGCAATTCTCTCCGAGAGGTTCACCGACGCTTCCCTGATGGCCTTCCCATCTTGGACCCCGTCGAAAACATGGGCATCAACGACGATTCGTTCAAGGCCCTGATGAGGAAGATTGAGATGTTAGAGGCACGTCTTCTCACCAACCCTCTCCACGGGTCACCGATGCTTCCCCAACTTTACCTTCAGTACCGCGCCAAGGAAAAGTTGGGTGAACAGATCAAGGCCAAGAAGAAGGAGATTGCGAGACTCCACAGCATTGCTCAAATGGACGAGCTCAAGGCTCGCAAGCGTGTTCTGCGTCGTCTTGGGTTCCTCAACGAGTCCGAGGTTGTCGAGCTCAAGGCTCGTGTCGCCTGCGAAATCTCATCTACCGAGGGCCACGAGCTTGTCCTTGCCGAGCTTTTGTTTGACCGCTTCTTCAACGAGCTGTCTCCCGAGCTCATCGCAGCGACGCTCAGCTGTTTCGTCCTGGACGAGAAGCTCGAGACGGCCAATCTGCGCGAGGAGCTGGCGAAGCCCTTCCGCGAAGTCCAGGCAAAAGCAAAGCAAGTTGCCAAGGTCAGTCGCGAGAGCAAGCTTGAGCTTAACGAAGAGGAATATTTGGCAGGCTTCAAGTGGCAGTTGATGGAGACTGTCTACTCCTGGGCTCAGGGTAAACCCTTTGCAGAGATCTGGTAAGTTTTCAACAAGTGTTGTTGTTTGTATTGCCTTTCACTAACACGACGCAGCAAAATGACAAACGCTTATGAGGGTTCTTTGATCCGTCTTTTCCGCCGCCTCGAAGAGCTCCTGCGCCAGATGGGCCAGGGTGCCAAGGTCATGGGCAGCGACGAGCTGACTCAGAAGTTCGAGGACAGTCTCGCCAAGATTCGCCGTGACATTGTTGCGGCCCAGAGTTTGTACCTCTGATAAAGGAAAGAAAAAGACAACAAGGTTCGTTCTGGCCACCACCCACTAGTTACCCCTCGTTTGATCCCCGCCTACTCCCCGCCTTCTTGTTTCTTCATTTTTTTCATGTAGCCCTAGGGACACACAGGCGTTGAAGGTTTTTAGGGAGGTTTTATACCATGTAGAATCTTTGTGTGTGCGGATTGGGAGTTGCCAGGGGCCGGCCAAAAGTCCCTTCTCCATGTGGCCACCAATGAAGCAGATAATGGCCCTTTTTGCTGTCTCTCTACCTGCGTGATCCATGTCCGACCTGCCGTTCCTGCTCTGCTACTTCTGCTCTTGATGGTTGGTATCATTGGAAAAAATAACAGCCATGTAAACACCATAACGATGACTGCCTGCCTACCCACCCGCTGATCCTATTCTACCGGTCGCCCGAAAATGCCCTGATAACGCCAATGATGATGCTCAATGTCACGCCGAACCCAATGAAATCCTGCCACCGGCCAGACAGCATGTTCTCCTCCCGCGACAGCCAGCCCAGGCACCCCAGCGGCCAGAAGAAGCCGACAATTAGGCCCTCGATCAGGACGTCCAGTATCCCGCTCATGACTCCGAAGGCGTCGTCGCCTCCGCCGCCGCCCTCGCCACCCGTGCCCGCGGTGGCGCCGGGTAGGGCGCCGGCGGCGTTGGTGTCTATCCACGAGTCCTCGAGCGAGCGCATCGTGTCCGGACTCGGCATCGTGTCGGGGGTGTACTGCGTCGCGCGGATCTCGCGGAACTGCAGGCGCAGCTGGTTCACCTCGGCGGCCGTGAAGCCGGCGTTGAGGAGCCTATCGAAGCCGCGCGGCGTGGGACGCGACGGCGGTGGCTGGTGGTTCGATCCATGTTGGCCGGCGGCCCCGAGGCGCGCGCCTGAGGAAGACAGGCTGCCGCGGCGGTCGGAAGGGGCGCGGAGGGCGGCCTCGGCTTCGGCGGCGAGCTCGGCGTCGGTGAGGCTGTCGCCGATGCTGCAGTTCACATAGACCCTCTGCGGGGCGGGGTCGTTGGCCTTGGCCTTGCCTTTTCCCTTTGGGTCGTCGGGGCCCGCGCCGGACGTGGACGGGGTGGACGGTTGCGAGGCGGACGGCGGTGGTGGTGGTGGCGGCGGCGGGAGGGGTCGGATGACGGCGCTGAGGGCGGAGGCGTCGGACAGGATCTTGCCTTGGTGGATGAAGCGTAGGCGGCGCTGGGAGTCGGGCTGGCCGAGGCGGCCGCGGATGAGGTGCTTGAGGGCGGCGACGGTGGTCTGCGAGGGGGAGGGGATGTCGAGGTCGAGGTCCGGGAGGGAGGTCGTGAACCGGATTCGAAGGAGGAGGGGGGGTGACCAGGGGCGTGGGGCCGTCATCCTGGAGGCATTGTATTCGTGCGAAGCTCTGTTTGGGGATTTTAGGTATCGGACTGTTCGGATTATTCGAACTGGATGGACGTGGGAGCTTGAAACTGCTTATGCTGGAAGAGATGCTAGACCGGGGGACAGATGACAATCCCCCAAGGCACCTTGAGTGGAGCTTATCGTTATCGGCTTCTCGGATACGGATGCATTCAGAGAATGCCTGCCGCATTACGCATTATGCGCATATACTCGTCCTTTGCATATATCTTCTTCTATCAGGTTTCTTCCCACTGCAATACTGCGACCTGTATTTGACATTACAATCTGTTTTTCATTACCCTGCGTACTGGGATTAGCTGGTCGGGCTATAGCAGATGGCATGCATATACCTAGGGATTAAATTCATTTGCCAAGTCAGGACGAACCACCAACCGGGCACAGAACGCTTCAAGTGTTAGAAAATGCAGGCAGAGGCCTGGCATACTCTGTATGTCGATTGACTTTACTCACAGACTGCTTATATACTAAGTAGATGATTGATAAGTGGTATAGCGACTCTTGTAGTTCAGAGAGTGGTATACCGTATACATACAATATTTCCCACGTAAGTCCTATATGAATAGAAGTATAGCTACTACGTATCACAATTTTCATAGCCATACCTGTATGAGAACACTCCATAACTCGTGCAAGTGTGTGCAGCTTACGTTTCCTGCCTAGGAAAGTGGCACAGACAGTGAGTGAATGACTGGTCGCACCCTTTCACCATTCAAGGCCTCCTGGAAGCCATACTCTGGGAAAAGAATAACCTGATGGATCGATACCTCGCGATTGCAAGAAGTCAAGAGAAGCAAGCAGTCACATACATGAAGTCTGTATGGTGCGAATACGAGGACTGATAGATAGATGGTTGCAATCATAATCTCTCCTAATGTTCCTCTCCCAGCAAGCGCGTCCGCTCTCTGGAGTTCTCGCGAGGATCCATCAAAGCATATCTTCGTTTTTACTCAAGCAAATTATCATGTCTTATTTGCCAAGCCAAGCCAAAGATACTCCCTCACGGCTTGAAAAGCGTATTTCATCCCAGCAAAATAATATTGCTATTTGAAAAATTAAAAAGGGGTCCATTCTCAAAACATGATCAGTGGGAGGCTTGAACTCCCGGCCTTGGCATTACTCAACATATCAGATGACATATTAGTACCACGCTCTAACCAACTGAGCTAACCGACCAGTGTATTTGTGTCGATAGCGAAATGAATATTGTGTATATCGGGTTAGTGGAGTTTGGAGTCAGGGCCATCCTGTGCTGGTCGTAATAATGCCTCGGCGAAAGCCCCGAGGGGGAGAAAAGGATAAGCGTGCCCTTTACTCTTTTGAGGGTCGTCATTTAGTGTACCGTGTAGACGGATGTGTTACGATAGCTCCCACATGGCGGGCTGGGCCGCCCCATCCATTGCAAGGTTCCAGTCGCTCCCCGCATTGGACCAAAGTTCCGTACAATGGTGCCACCTTCCAAGGGCTGGCACCCTTTGCATTAGTTTCCTGGTGGATGAGACAACTGTATCTACCGTAGTCTCGTGGAGGGAGCTTCAGCCAAGCGGTGGAAAAGTGCGTATTCCCTAACGCATAACTCTCCAAAATCTAATACCTCACCCAGGCGGACCATTCTGAAGCCCAGTGCGGTCGATATCGATGGATAAAGAACCTCATCCTACCCCGGCGTCCAGTTTTGATTTGAGAAACCGTAAGTCACAGTGTCGCCATCGAGTCCAAAATGGCATCGAATAGCATGCAACGGCATGCCTACCAAAGTAGAGTAGAGCACCCCCACCCCAAGTTTAATGTTTGGCTATTGTCTGAGGCCAAGTTGCCAAACGCGTAGCCCCGCCTCGAACTCGCAAGTTCTGAGATAAAAGTTCAATAGTGCGCGGCTGGTGAGGTGAAGGAACAGTCAAGCGAACTCTACTGTCTACTGTGTATCAGACGGTCCAGGGTTGTTGGCGATAGAAGTTGGAGACGGACGGGCCCTAACCAAGGATGTTAGTCAGCCGATATAGGTACTGCCTTGTATTGCTCCGGTCGAGGCCCGTCCCCCTCACCTCCCCCGGGCACTATCTCCTGAAGTCCATGCCGTTGCCCCATTGTACAAAGTACAGATCGCTGTCATTATCCAGTTCCAGCCCCTGTTATCTCCCCTTGTTCTCTTTTGCCCATCCGAGTTGACCTTCACCGCAAGTTTTCTCTATTTGTGATGCCACGCAGAAAGGACCCGTCCAAGCAGGTTTCTCGCCGGAGCCATCGCGGCTGCCACCGCTGCCGCCTGCACAAGATCCGGTGCGACGAGGTCAAACCTCACTGTGGGCCGTGTACCTCCCGTGGCTATCCCGACTGTGTTTATGCCCAGATTCTGAAGTGAGAGACTGACTACGTTGGCCGAGCCTTTGGCAGGGCCGGCGTGTGGTCGAAATCCAGAGCCTCTGGCGCTAATAACAAAAAAACTGCCAACTCAACGCCAACGACGACCCTGAACAACTACTGGAGTGTGCCTACACACGTCTATTCGTTCGGCTTCATGAACACCTTCATCGGCGACTTTGCAAAGGGGAGTATTCCTCGTCATCGAACGATGACGTCTCCAGCGATGACCAGAAATCGGCGGCTCTCATTCTGAGAAGGAATTTGAACTCTATGAATCGGCCGGTGACGTACATTCAACTCGGCAACCAGGCGGAATCGCAACTCCTTTCTTACTACCTAAACCGGATCTGCCCCAGACGATACCCAGCGCAACAGGCGAATCGCCGTTTTCGGCCCTCATCTTCCCGTTCGCCGTCTCATCTGCATCGCCCGCTCTCATGAACGCCTTGTTGGGTCTCTCAGCTTCTCATAGAGCGAGGACCGACAAAACGTATGAGCCCGTGGCTCTGAGCTACTCGGCAAAGGTCATCCGGTCGCTCCGCCTGACTCTCGAGAACAAGTCCTCCATAGATATAGCGGCCAACTCGGAGATCCTCGTCCTCGTGATGCTCCTCTGCCAATTGGAGATCATTGCCGAGTGCGATAAGCGCTGGGTCACGCATCTGCGGTGGGCCCGGGACCTCATCAGGTTCAGACGACAAGCCATGGGTTCGGATGTCGTGAAAATGGAGGTCAGGCAACAGAACCTTTAGACCTTAATAGATAGGTTTATTTGTATAAAGCTATTAACATATTGTTTACCTAGAGGTTAGGTATTCCCAATAGTATCTAGGATGTACTAGGCAAATTCTCTAACTTGCTGATAGGTTATTAGTAGCCCTAGATCAGCCTGCGCAGTAATCTTAGTAGCTAGGCTGACCTCCTGGGCAATTAATAGTCGCTAGAGGTCTTTAAAGGCAGCTGTCCTCTGTTAGCTACTATTTATGCGATGCTGAAGTGTTGATTGTAGTATGCCCTATTGCCTAGAAGCAACCCAGTAAGATACGCCGTCTGTAATAGCAGCAAGTATTACCTGCTGGAGCTGATCTTCAGTATAATCAACAATTGAGTATTAAAGAGTATATCCTGGAAAAATGAAGTGGTTTGATGAAGGTTGGAAAAAGTGGTGATAGTTTGAAGTTGGTGATGTGGTGATTGATGGGGTGGCTGGGCGGCATTTTTGGGTGGGCCATATCTAGGGGTGGGCTATAAGTAGGTGCTTTGACTTACTTGCTTGGCTAAGGAATAAGCCTGGGGCAGTAAAGCCGCAGCTGTTTTCTATATCATGTGTACTATATAACAAGACCCTTATTTCAGGTGCGTTACTTAGAAGAAGGCAAAGAAGATACGGAGATAAAGTGATTTTGCCTAGACCTTATTGTTGACCGTGTACCCAGGTGGTTGGCTGACACTACACTACATAGGATCATGCGTATGCTGGTTTGGAATGGGACGCTGATACCAGAGTGGCTGAGCTGAAATCACACTAGGAATGTAGATGTTGAGTCAACCAATCCATTTTGGGCTTGGTGTAGGACCCCGAGCTTCAGCTTGAGACCAAGGGACTATTATTCTCCCATCTTGCATTCTGTAGGCCACTTATGACATTTCAAGACAAAGTTGCCTGTGCCGCACGTAGTTGAGTTAGACTGACGGATATCTGATTACCTTTCTGCTCTCCACTTGAGTCAGAGGGCTGTCAGTAGCATATAATATGGACGTGGACTAGAGCTCCACGGTAGGAAGATGGAAAACCTCTAATCTCCACACCATTCTCGACGTTCCAAAGTTGTTTAGTTGCTGGACGAGCGGAATTCTTTCCATTCGGAACCCCTGAGATGCAATCGCAGCCCATTGGCCATGTTAAACGAGTCTAGATTTTACATGCGCGCCGCAGAATGATTTCCAATAAACTGAAGTAGAGCTGAGTGGAAAGGCTCCAGCCTCATCGCTCACGAAAGCGCATATAATATATATTTACCTCGACTGCCAAGTTTCGTTTCCATCAACTTCTTCTTTATTTAACATTTCTTCTCAACGCAAGGCCACACCGACCTACACCCTATCTCACTTTGAAATATGTCGATCTTTTTAATGTCGAAGCAATTGCCTCCTCTCCCCGGGAATGCCGCCGGTGCCCCGAATGGGAAATACGTCAAGTACTCGCCTTCCGAGAAATCCTTGGAAGCTTTCTCGTCAGATGTCGTGTACAATGTCTGGTTCCGCACCAAGGTTAGTCCTGTCGATATCGGCACTTGAAAAGAAGCCTGCTAATATCATTTCACCCAATAGCCACTAGACGAAGAAACCATCAATAGGATGAAGAGCATTCAGCTTACTACTGAGAGTTCTGGTCAAGGCTTTTGTAGCGACCCTGACGCCGGGTTGTGGACTTGGTTTGAGATAGCAATCATGCCTCACTGGTCGGAGACACCTCGCATTGAAAATGGCATCGTGCTCACGTGGAAAAGCCACGAGAACAGCTATGAAGACGTCGTGACAGAGGTTTGATGGAGCCCCTTTCCAATGTCATGGCTACAGTTATGCGTCCCCGGGTATGCTAGTGACTTGTGCTAACCTATTCACTTTTATCGGCTAGAAAGCTGGCAAAATATTTAACAGCTCAAACAGAGATGACGATGCCATTTTTAGGTTCCTCAAGGTAAGCAAATGCTTCTAATGATGCAATAATGTACGCTTATCTGAAGCAGCCCGGCGACACTCTAGCCGTTCGATTATGTGCTCGTTTCCCACAATGGACCTTGTACGCAAAGAGGGCCTTGCTTGTCGTGGAGTTGGGCGACGAAGGTAATATTGAGGATCAATTCCAGGTTGCTGCTACTGGCTAAAGGCAATATTCTAGAGACGAAGCCCAAGACCGACCTTGAGCAAACCGTTTCCACGCTCGGCCAAGCAGTCTCTCAAGTCAAGATTGCACAGGAAGCGATGAAAGACATCAACAAGTTAATTTTTCCCCACATCAAGGAGGGGCATTTACCTTCTCTCCCTGATACCGTCTTCCGTGCCGACGTAGTCATGGAACACAACAAGGCTGGGAGCCCACCTCAGGGGCTGCGCCCGCTCTGTGTGCTTGCTCTAGGTACGTATTTAACTTCTTGCCTTTATGGTACCTGCAAGGAGGATTCAAAGAAGCTTGTTGGTTCTGACGATGAATACTCCTACAAGATGGCGGTGGAGTCCGTGGCTTAGAAACGCTCTTGGTTCTGCAGAGCATTATGAAGAAAGCTTTTCCTGAAGGAAACGTCAAACCTTGCCAAGTGTTCGACATGATTGGTGGCACAAGCACAGGAGGGTATGTGAGATCTATCACGGTGCAACGTGGATTCAAAATGCTTACATTCTCTGCAAAAAGCTTAATCGCAATCATGCTTGGACGCCTCGAGATGGACATAGATGCGTGCATCAATGAGTACAAGGGTCTGATGAAGACGGTATTTCCCCCGCGCTTCGATGCTTCAGCCATGGGAAAATGGATCGATGTTATCCCAGCACCCAATCTTGTGAAATGGGGCGTCAAGAGTCTTTTCACGCCAATCAACAAAGTAGTTCACACTGCTGCGGATGCATACTATGGAGCCAGCCAGCTATTGACTGGGGCCAAATGGGACGACGGCAAGTTGGAGATGGTCATTAAAGAACTTATTGGCAAGCGGCTCCCCTGGTCTGAAAATGCTGCCGATATTACTCTTTTGGACTCCAAGAGAACTGATGGTTGCAAAGTGTGAGTTGCATCAGAGGCATCGAGGTTGCATTGCCTAACATCAAGTCACAGCTTTGTCACCGCAGTTGACGTGGTAGGGGGCAACAACCAACCACCGATGATACTCCGTTCATACCAGAATCCTCGTCAGATGTCCCAAATCCCCAATATCAAGATTTGGGAGGCTGCTCGCGCCACCTCCGCGGCGCCCTTCTACTTCAAACCCTTAAAAGTCAAAGTCGAGGACCAGGGCAAGGAGCACGAATACGAGTTCGTCGACGGAGGCCTACAGGCCAATAATCCTCTGGGATGGTGCGTGCCTCACTTTTCTGTCCACCTTACGATTACTCTATTAAACTGATGGCTGACTGGAACTGACCTTGGCACATTATTAGCCTGTGGAATGAAGTTCTCACCACGTATGGAATCCAGCGACAGACGGCTTGCTTCCTGAGTCTTGGCACCGGCGTCCCGCCAAGCCAGACGCTGCCCTCTCTCAACTTTGATATCAGGCATCCGCTGAAGCAACTCAAATTCATTAACGGATTGGCCGGAATCGCATGCAACACCGAATTTGTCAACACACTTTTCCAATCTCTCATTAACGCTTTCGCCCCCAATAGCGGTTACAGGAAATACTGGCGCTTCAACCCTGGGGATGGCCTAGGTCCTGAAACGAAGAAAGAAGCGGCCATCGCAATGGACGACGCTACAAAGGAGAATGAAATGACGGAAGCAGCTGTTAAATATATCAGTAGTACGAAGGGCGCGGAAATGGTGGCAGAATGTGCAGCCGCTCTTTCAAGTGTTGGTGGGCCATGGTGATAATAGTCTTTTGAGTAAGACAGGGGTGGCCCATATCAGGTGTCGAAGGCAGTTTGACCCTTTCTAGTACCTCCTTTTAAACTTTCATTATAGGTACTAGTTAGGTATAATAGCTTAGTGTCTACTAATAGACTTTAACTTTACACGGAGTATGTGTCGTGAAGCTAGAACAGCTTCGTGTGGCTGTTATCAAGTGACTCGCGCACCATGTGGCGTATCACCCGCACAGACCGCTGAGAACAAGTACATCTACCCGTTCTCCGGTTCATAGTTAGTTTCCTAGAAATCAACTACTTCATCTTCTTCCTCCCCGTGTACATACAGTAGAAGGCGAATTAAGCGTCGCTGAAAGTTTAGTTAACATCTTTAGTGGTGGTGGTGTGGGCCTGTGGCTTATGCGGCTTGGCAGATTACCCCTGTAGGGACGAAGTTCTCAAGGGACAATCACTAACAGAGCCAGAACTGGATGCTGACAACAACTCCACTGGTAATCCGTTCAGGGGCCGGGGAGGGCATATCCGGAGATGATCTTGCCCAGGACTGTGAGGACGTTGCTGTTGAGGTTAGCGACGGCGTACACGCTACCGGTCGGGATTAGATAGATCAAGGCCAGAGCAAAGGCCACAAAGACGCCCCAGACCGGCATCTGGGTCTTGTAGACCACTTGTATGACGATGGTCAAGACTAGGACGACGACAGTGAGGACGGCGTACCACCACCACTTGGTGCCGGGGTACCTCTCGATGAGGCGGGCATGAATATCCTTCTTTCGTCCCGGGTTGAAGGCGCCGATGATATCCTTGTACTAGTTGAGGAAGATGTAGGTCGGCACGCAGGTCATAACGGCGAAAGAGATGCCGTAGCTCAACGCGAACGTCACCGGCATGAAGACAGGGCTGTACTTTTCGTACTCCTCCTTCATGAAGTTGCCATCTTTGCCGACAACACGCGTGGCGTGGTAGATCTGGCCAGTATTGTCATAAGTATCAGCTCCCGAGAACGGGAGGTATGATATGTACCACGTGTTGGTATAGTACAGCATGGGCGTGATGAGGGCGAAGATAACGACCCAGCCAGCAAAGACGTTGGCCTGCGCCCAGAACGGAACGACCAGGGGAGAGCCGTTGTATGCGATCTGTGACCAGTCAAAGGTGATGGGCAGGTAGGCGAGGCCTGTGGACATGCCGAAGAGGTTGTTTACCACCACGTTATCTACCAATGTCAGCAAACAGATATACGACTAGCGGGATGTGCAGGATTGGGAGTAACCTACTCGGCGCAGCCCAGCAAACGAACGCAAATGTGCTCAGGCCAGTGAAGAGGTATCCTGGAAGCCAGTATCAGAAGAAGCCGCCAACGAAGACGTAGAGGAAAAACCGATATCTCGAGATTCTCCAGCCATCGGCAATGGGGTTCGCTCGCCCATGCAAGGTCTGGAACAGAGCCGCGTTGGCCAGAGTCGAAGGCCAAATCATGTGCGGCGGCTCGACGATGAAGCGATGTGCCAGCCCGGCCATACCAAGACCAAATAGTTGCATCGACAAGCCGAGGAGGAACTGGTAGGACACCGGTGTGTCAAGACCGTAGAACGCCGAGGCCTTCTGCGCCTGAATGATGTCAGTGGCCTACGAAGGCCCGAAGGACAGGTTGGACATGATGGTGATGACGGCATGCTCCTTGATGTTGAAGTTATGGTCCGGGTTGAGGGTGAGGTCCCAGCGGCCAAAGACGCGGACCTTCTTGACAGGCAGCAGGCGAACCACGGCGCAGCCCACGGGGTACGACACCAGCTGAGAAACGAGCGACGAGATGGCGACGCCAGGATAGCGCATTGAGAAGAACTGGTTGATGCCGGAGCCGATCATGGTGAAAAGCACGCCGAGGATCCACATGCGGGGAGTGTTGACGGGCATGCTCGGGCCGTCCGTGTTGGGCACGTTGGCGCGGACCTCGGGGAAGGGCGAGTTGTCCGAGTCGATGTCGAAGTGATCCTCGATCTCGCCGAGGGCATAGGTTATGGCTTTGTCGAGGTCCTTGACGCTGGCGGCCTCGACGTTGGACGCCTGCTGGGTTATCACTGGATGTGCCCTAGCGATAACCTTGCTGTCGTCCTTCATTGTCGTGGCAGATATTGGTGACGTGGAGAAAGGAAGGACCGATATAAAAAGAGTGGTGGAGTGTCGGACTGGCGAGCTGTTCGCGTGCTGTGTTTGATATATACCTACATCCGGCACCCAGGATTCAAGTCGCTTTTGAGTTAGAGCCATATCTATCTGTCTGCAAATACCAATCTTCCCCAGAGTTTCGGGCCACCATCCTAATCAGTTTATCTGTTCTCCAAACACCCAACCCCCGCACTGTCCATATAACATTTCCCCCTTTGGTGGGTGTTTCTTCCATGACTGGTAGGCTGGGAATCGACCAGGGAGGTTCTATGGAAGGTCCAAGCTATCAGCCTAGACGCCGATGAACCATGTAACAGGGAATACTCTCTCCCATTCGCCCGATACGGATCCATGTGCAGAGGGCTGCAGGGAGGGCGGGAGAGAGATAAAGAGAGAAGCGGCGAGTAATGAGGGCCGATGAACGCTTGTTGGCACGTTAGCCTCTCCACCCGTTATATCTCCGAGGCCGGGATGAGGAGTTGGAGCGGAAGGGAAGGTCCAAGCCGGCGTGGACCCCCTGGATAAACTCGTCCGGAATGCGTGTGTTGACGGCCAAATGGGCCAATTATCACTTAGCAAGGACTGTGCAGAAGAGGGGATGCAGGGGAGCCAATGGAGTCGAGATGGGGTAAACCTAGTTGGTCGTCTTCTGCATCGGAGCGTCAGATGTGTCAGTAATTTCAGGACTACCTACAGAATCACTGGGAATACTTCATCAACAACCACGTCCTGAGAATGCCGGGTTGTTACCGTCTACGTGACCTTCTTTTATCTTGTTTCTTCCCTAGAGAGAATCTCAATCATTCGTGCAAGCATGGCCGGCAGCAGCTCTTCTTTGTCCAAGGCGTCGAGCATCGTAATCATTGGCGCGTGAGTAGTCACTGTTCATCAACATTCATCAACACATTTGTTTGGCTGAGAGCAACGCTAAGTACAAAACAATAGGGGGACCTTCGGGATCAGCACCGCGTATCATTTGGCAAAACGCGGTTACATGAACATCAAATGTCTTGACCGACACCCTTTGCCTAGTCTCGACTCCGCAGGCTATGACTTGAACAAAATCATCAGGACCGAATACGACGAGCCTCTTCACACAAATCTGGCTCTGGAAGCCCTCAATTCTTGGAGGCAACCGGAATGGAATGGTATCTTCCATGAAACGGTGAGTTGACAGCCCCGGCCTTTGGACAGCAGGCTTGACTGTCATTACTGTTTGCTCATGCTCCAGCCAGGGCCGCATCGTCACAACATCCGGAGACCCTCTAGCAGAGAAGCACCTCAAAGAGGCTTACGAGAATTTGAGGAAGGCTGGGCAGGCTGATAGTCTGGAGCTGGTTGAGGGCAAGGAGCAGATAGCCAAGCACGTTCCCCAGCTGCGCAACGCAAACGGCATCGAGAATTGGAAGGGACTCTGGAACAGTCAAGGCGGCTGGGCCCATGCCAAGAAGTCCCTTGAGAAATGGGGTCAAGAGGCACAGGACATGGGCGTCAAGTTCGTTTCCGGTGCCGAGGGCACCATGACCGGGCTGAGCCTCGATGGTTCGGGCAACCTTATAGGAATCCAGGTTGCTTCGGGCGGCGTTGTGCGCGCGGATAGGTACATACTTTGCACCGGGGCGGCGTCGCCGGCCGTGCTTCCCGAGCTGTCCAGGGAGATGTGGACGAAGTGCTGGTCTTTGGCACACATTGAACTGACAGACGAGGAAATCGACCAGTGGGAAGGGATTCCCGTGGTGGACAACTTTGAGCTGGGCTTCACCTTTGAGCCGGACCCCGAAACCAGTAGGTCGACAATTGCCAACCTAACGGAGGTGGTTGCTAACATTTATCCAAGAGTGGATGAAGATCTGCGACGGATCCCCAGGATACCAGTACCGCGTCGGGACCTATACCGACCCCTCGGGCAAAGTGGAACACTACTCGGTCCCTCGGTATGCGAGCGCGCACCCAGAAGACGGCATCCCCGAAGAGGCCTCCGATGCCATCAGGCGCTTCATTGATACCGTCATGCCGCAGTTCTCGGGGCGGCCACTCCTAGGCGCCAGGGTCTGCTGGTGCACCGACTCCCCCGATGCCTACTGGCTGATTGACAACCATCCAAAACATCCGTCCCTGCTTCTGGCAACCGGAGACTCGGGACACGCGTTTAAGATGTTCCCCATCATTGGCGACTACATCTCTGACGCCCTGGAGGGCAAGGAGCGGGGTTTGAGGTCGGAGTGGAAGTATGGCAACAGGACATCGAGGCCCGTGACCACTCGCCCGGGAACGGAAGTCAAGGACCTCAGAGACGTTTTGAATTTGAATCCGTAGAAAAAAGTCTTGATCACTGTGTAATAATGCAGAGGAAAATCAGATTTGTCCAAAACAAGGGCCTGAGACAGCTTCTGTCATTCCCAAGTCGAGAGGATGCTACCCTCGAATTTCAAACCACCGCCCAGCTTGATAGAAGAGTCATATCTAAGATTGCTCGTATTCAACCGTTGTTTCTGTTGTGACCCTGATGCACATGCTTGCCACTCGCTGAGCTGGAGTCTGATGAGAGCTACCCTCAGCCACTGATTGAATTGCCCCCTCACTGTGAACGCTGCAGCGATCCTCATCCCGCTGGTTCGACTCGATGGTGGTCTTGCGGCGACTCGTGCAGTCCCTACGAAACGCGCTGCTTGGCCAAGGTCCCACGACGTCCTCGTCCGCGTCACCCCTCGGCACTTCTTTTGACGAAAACGAGACGTCGTCGTGTGAGTGTAGCCTGTAGGCCTCCGACTGGACGGTGCGGGGCTTCTTGATATCAAGGACCCTTATTGTGTACGGGTTTGTGGCGTGGTAGCCTCTGCTGTTCGGGTTTGATCTCTTGCACTTGGAGCAACCCATGTGGGAAGTGACAAATATGGGTAGGTAACGCACGAAGAACGGCTTGAGAGCCGGGACAGAGGCGCACATGACTCCAGCATTGACTTCAACCGATGCCCAATTCAGTTGTTTTTGGAGGTCAAAGGTGAAATCCTTACTTGTCAATAGTAGCGGAAGGATAGTCGTGCGTCTGATGGCACAGATACATACACTGTGGAAAGGTCAGCAAAATCGGATCTTGAATCTATCTTTTTTTCCTCGAGGCGAATGTCAACCTACAGTCCTCCCGTGGCGAATAGCAGGATCAAAGACAGTTTCTGCATCTTGGCCATCTGAAGAGGGAGGATGATCCTAAGGGGGAGGATCAGACAAACGACATCCATGGCGATGTTGGTACCGCTGAGAGCCAGAAAGATTGCGCCTTTATTAACGCATGTGGCCCCGGCTTGCGCCGAAAGATCCCAAGACGCGTGGATCGGTCTGCAGCTGAAAAGGAGCAAGAACAAGTAGATCAACGCGTAGGTCGTGGCGAAGACAATGAACGCCATGGTGACCATTCTGAACCACCGCTCTGGCGAAAGGCGCAGATAGAGGAAAAGTAGGGAGAGCTTCGCCGTTGTGACGCTAAGGGAGTAGATCAGGACCGCGATCAAGCCATGCTAGATACACAGTCAGCTGCTGACGATCTGGCACACTGACAGCATCTTGCACAAAGACGACTGTCAAAAGGGATAGCTGCCTACCAGCAGAAATCCAGGAGAAAAGTCGACGCGCTTGACCTGCCACAAGTGAGCCCCCACGCCGAGCTCACACACTGGCAAAATTAGCATGTGTAGGAGTAAGCGGGTACTGGCGAGCTGAGCTCACGCTTGATCGATAGGCCGAAGAAGATTACGGCCAGTCCCAGCGAGATACCGATGAGATCTGGGAGGGCAAACGTCAGCGCGGAAGAAAGATGATGAAAAACAGATATTCCAGGAACAGTATTAGCACCTCACTCACAGTCGTCGAGACCGAAAGCTTTCTTGGTCAGAGATATCCTTGTGAATGCCCTCAAGGCAACAAAAACGATGGAAAGCGAAGTAAGTGCGCCACTTAAAGCAATCACTCCTGAAGTGACGGTCCCGGCTTCGAACCGACCCTGACCAGCAGGCGGTTCAGCCATGTACTTGGAAGCAGAAGCATCCATTTCTTCACCGGTAGCGCCTGAAGCCTTCGTGGCTGATGGAGGTTCTTTGGTACAAGGCAGCTCGAGAATTAGAAAAGACACATGGTCTTAAGTTTATGTTGAAGGTGGGATCCAGGGGATTGGGATACGACCATTCCACGTGGATCACTCGAAAAGCAGACTGGGGCCCTCAGCACTTTTTGAACATGCTGTGCCTTCCTGACTAGATAGGAGGCATACACAGCAAGGGGGCTACGGGCAAATCAAATCACTGCTAAGGAGCAAATGGAGTTAACGCTTTCTGTTGCGGCCTGTCTCTGATTGTGCATGGCTAAATATTTGCATTGAGACCGGGTGGTGGACATGCAACTTCTATGCGTCTCTGCTTGAGGAATCGCATGGAATGAAGTGAGATAGAAGAAGCAACTTGCGATAAGAACAAGGATCACTCGTAGCCTGAGCTGCTATGCTCAAACGGAAAGGAAGAGGTGCAGGTGGCTTATTATTGCCCAGAGAGGCGGGAGTACTGGGCCTGGGGGCCAAAAGAAAGTGAGTACATTTCGACGCATGCGGCTCGGAAAAGCAAAGATGTGGTCAAACCCGAACCACGAGGATCGGGGATCGGCGGAAAAAAAAGCAACGGTCGTGAGAGCCCTAGCAGACGGAGTACCCATACCCGACGTAATATCAACCGGGACCCCCAGGTTTCTTAACCCGCTTCAAAGGTCCCTGCTGCTACCGTATGAGTCTGGGCTTTAGATTGGCGACTTATAACAATCGGTTCGCCCACACCAGGAACGTGCGAGCCGCGAGAGGCATAGCAAGATCTGTACCAATGAAACTGAAACTCTGACTTCCTGGATGTTGTTCTCCAGTTCGTTAAGCACGCATTTTCGGCTGATTATGCATGCTTCTAGGTGTCTCCCAGGGTTGAGAAGCATGCACCACCAAGGCCTGCAACGTCGATCGAGCGGACCTGATCCGCCATGCATATATATTCGATCACAAACACGGGTGACTTGAGTGGCTGACTTAGCCTCTTGACCGTGTACTTGGCATATGCAAATCAACGCGCTGGTCGGTTTCAAATCTTAGTTCAAGCTGTGCAGGGGGCGACAGGAGCTTATATCGTCAGCTTGGTAATGCGGACAAATTGGTTTACTGAAGAGTTGCTCCAATATTTCGTCGTTGGGGCTTGAAGAGCCAAACGGAAAGCGGAGCAGTTGGAATAGAACCACTGGAACTGTGGACTTTGCTACTCTTATACGGCCTTCGTGGGTATCAAGATGTGTTGATGTCAGGATGCCCACTACAGATTCAGTAAACAAGGCTCTCATATCCCTCTGGGGATGTTCTAATTTTAACAAAGCACAGATATTTTTGTATGTAATAACTGCCGCAGCTTCTTCATCGGCAGACAATGCCATTGCTACCATCGCCAAATTATTATCAGCATATTGCGGATTTGATGGATTTCATAAGAGAAAGGTGATAGAGATATATGTACTCTGAATCATGATATTAATTATTAATCATAAATTTCGTGGTCAGTTCATGTCTTTGTGATATAGATATATCCGTAACCAACGGGCCTATGCTGCCGGTGCTCTTCCTGGCTTGTCGCTCTCATGATAACCTTCGATGTCCCCGTTGATGCTATCTCCGTCACCAATTACTATAGCCACCTAAAGAGTTGCAGAAAATGTCGGGGTTGCAGGCGAGTGTATTGGCAGCACGTCATGCCTCTGACGCATTCGGTTGGCGGACTCCCCAAATTCCGAAGATAAGGGCTCCCGTGAGCCCTTTCCTCTATATCCTGTTGTGCCGGCACATGCCAACAGTGGACGCATGAGCGGAAGACACGCGCAGACGATGGCGCTGGTCAATTCGGCGACGCCCAAGAGCGTGAGCGGAACGATCTCGTAATATTCGTCACTACTGCCTAAACCCAATTGCATGCTAATTATTCTCATGACTGACAGGGCGCACGTACTAGTTTCAAATGTCAGACCTTCCGATTTAAACTCCATAGCAGTGATCGGGGGATGTAGAAGCGGCAGCTTACAAGATACCAACTCCGAAGCTGGCAATGAGCCCGGCTTTCTGCAATGCTGCGAGGCGCATTCGTCCTACAAGAATGATAGGGAGCATGAAAACTATGATACCCGTAACAAGGTTTGAGGCACCGGATAAGTAGTTGAAAACGATGAATCCTGTCGACTTGACATTTGGGAGCTTGTTCGGATCAGGGTCGGTAAACCCCCTCGTAGCAACCCCACCAAGAATGAGCAACGAGGTTGAAATAAGGAACAATACTCCCAGAAACACATCGCATAGCAGCTTTATGTTTGGGAGAGCAAATGCTCGGCGATGTTGCGCGAGATATGTTGCTTTGACGAAGGGGAATGCAACTTGGTACATTAAGGACGCTGCGACGAGAAACTATGCTCTATGTCAGCAGGCTTGCAACAAGAACAACTTCGAGGAGTATCATACAGGGGCATCTTTCTTGATCATTGATGGCGTTACAGTCCATATGTGTCGGCCGAGTGCACCGTATATCGCGCCTAGAGCAGGGAATGCTGTTAGCCTCCATAATATTGGACTACGGATATACACTCGCTAGCACTAGCACTTACCGCACTTGATCAAGGCAATCTGAGCAACAGCAAGAAACTTTAGTTGAGTTTAGCAAGCGAAATATAGTCGATGGGGACTTCACGAACTGACAGCCGAGCAAATGAACATTGTATCGTCCAATTTCCATGCGCGCATAAGATACCCTCTGATGTATACTCTAACTCCCATGAATATTCCGATGAGCCCTATGGATGCCGAGGTGACTCCAACGATAAGAGAAATCCTGGTATCCGTAGGAAGATGCTCCATATCCGTTGCCCCTTGGAGGGCGTATGGGTTCGTATGTTGCTAGTTTTCCGTTGCGGCGCAGTTTTATGATCGAAATGCAGCGACTGTGGGGCGAGAAAATGCCAGCCAATGCGGTTGAAGCGCAGGTCTTCTTGATTCAAGATACAACGCTTGAATTTATATGGGATATAGTGCTTGGGATTAGAAAGGAGACCGAAAGAGATGTCGTTGCCCGTGCAGTGTCGTTCGAGTCTTCCGTGTTATGGGCACGTTGGCAGGGCGGAACTTGCATACCAAAGCACGAAGAGAGTACTGCGGAAGAAAAGAAAAAGAAGAAGAAGGCCAAAATGAGGGGAAGGGGGAGGGGGGGCAAGAGAACAATAAAGACTGAGTTACAGGAAGAAAACAATAAAGTTCCAAGCGATTAGTGGCAAGGCTTAGGAATGGCTGTGTATATTGGATCGTTGTGGCCGCTTCCACCAAAAGGGCATCCGTACCTTCAGGCCGGATGCGGTGCGATCATACCAAGTCATTCCATAGTCCAAACGCGTGGCGTTGAGATGGGCCAAGCGACATCTCTTTGTCTCGCCACTTTGGGGTTTCCTGTCTCACTCGTCGCTAGGAATACGAATGATGCCCAAGTTGTCGATCATGACAGTAGATCCGGACCCAGTTGGGGAAACTGGGAGCTTGTTTACCGTTAGATTTATCGATCGGTCTTTGATAACTTATCTCTCATCCCATATAACACTGTCTAGTAATCTGACCCCGATCGAGATAAAGGGAGTACTTGAGATGTGGTCCTTCTAGGGGGAAGAGTGGAACAGCCACGAGCCAAACCAATCTTCTTTTTTATATACTAGATTGAATACCGCCACGTTCTGATATCATTCCAACAAGCCTCTGGGATTTTCTTTTCTAGAATAGTCTTTTAGTTCGAATTTTGAACTTCGTTGAGACGGAAGTTAATGCAAAATACCCAAAAAAAACTCAACGACATATGGTGCAAGGTTGGCTGGAATCCTGACCCAAGCGATGATGCAGCGGAACTGTGAAAATGTCGAGCCAGCAAGTAGAGAACAAGTTTGAACTTGGCCCCGATGTGGTAGCCGCCATAGATGAGTCCGTTGCAAAACAGTCCATCCGGGCTCTGGTCAATGTAGTTCCAGGTTTTCGGGGACTATAAAACAGTAAACTTGGAAGCCGGATGAGTTTGCACCGGCTTCGCGGTACAGAGGCCAGGAACAGAGCTACATGCAGCCAATTTCTGGAAAAGATTCCCAGTCTTTTTGAGTACCATCATTCTGAAAAAGTAAAAGAAAGGAAAAGGAAGAAGGAAAAGGAAAATAACAGCCTCAAGGTCCAGATCCCTTTGACAGTTGTGAATAGCTACTACTAATGTTTGGACAGAAAGGGATCGTCTAACAGCTTGCCCCAGCCCGTTTACCCATCAGTCTGGAGAGGCCTCAACGATTTGCCCTTCAGTCGACATGATTGCCAGAAACAAGATTATTGAAGATCGGCAAATAGCCATTTTCAGAGGGGTGAACTTCACTTTTCCATGAACTTTACTTTTCCAGAGTGATGTTCACGCTAACATGGTTGGTTCCAGCCCAGGTGGGGTAACGCTAGAGGTCTCACAGAGCTGCTGTGGAATGACCTGCATTAGCGAGTCTTCGATGGGCATGCCCGCCAATTTAAGACCCTGTCTGTCACCTTCTCCCCCCTGCCTTCCCCTTCCACTTGCGTGTAAACCTCGCAACAACAACATCACCACTTTTAACGCGATCGCGCATCGCCCGAGACGATGAGCGCGTCCACATGTCCCCTAACGCGCCCGACACATCGACGACCCCGGCAGAGATAGCATTCGCCGATGATGCCGAGCCTTTCATCCCCAAGCCCTTGATCGACGATCTCTTGCGCACGCGCTACTGCATCCCGGGGTCCGTCTTCCTCGTCGAGGACATTGAGTCGCTCCCCGTTCCGCGCTCGAGACGATGGCGCGCCGTGAGGCTGATGCTCGGCGACGGTGAGCTCTGCATACAGGCCTTGCTCCGCGGGGAGATGCACCGTTTCCTCGATTCGGGCGCCGTTAGGGTTGGCTGCTACGTGCGCTTGGGCGACTTTGGCCTTCGTTTCCACAATGGCACGGATGACGCCCATCGCTCTGGTGGGACACGGCAACTGGTCTACTTGGTTGTTCATGACCTGGTCACTGTTGGGTGGCATAGGTCTCTTACGGTCCCCGGCCCGATGCCCCAGCAGCCTCATCAACAAAAGGCAGAGGACGCTTCCGTCTCGGACAGTGATCTCGACTTAGACGGTGTGGAAGCTCTTGCTGATCTGCCTCGTCAAACACAAGATCCGAGTCCGTGTGCCCTACCAAGCACGAAGCCGAACCGGCAAACTCGGGAGGAACCTGCGAAGGAACATTTGGATGAGGAACACGACGCAGGAGAGGATTTTGAGGTTATGCAAGTGTCGGCAGCCAAGGCGACACAGCGAAGAGCCCAGGCAAGGAACAGGACGGCAGCCGTCGCTCTGCCACGTGACTGGACGGACCCAACCATCCCCTTGAAGCTGACGCCCCTGCGATCCATCCCGAACTTGCCTTACAAACAGAACTGGTCCGTCAACGTCCTCGCCATCGTGACGTCGCTTTCCGATGTCGAGCCTTCCCACATGCCCCCGCACACCCAGAGGACGGCGAGACTGGCTGATCCAAGCACTACCAAACACGTCATCCTCACTGTCTTCCTCGACGCGGAAGAGTTCAATCCCAAGATTGGCAATGCTGTGCTTCTTGTTGGCGTCAAGAATCACCGCTTCGACGGCGGCTGCCTGAAGAAGTACGTCAGCGACAAGCCCAAGCCGGGCGCCCGCTGGTGGTTTGAGGAGCCACGGCAATTTGACTGGTGCGACGTCGACGGCCTGGTTCAGTGGTGGAAGCAGTCGCAACAACAGCGGGCGGTCGTCGAAAATGCATGACTCGGGAATGTCACATTTGCCACAGAGTAAAGACCCCGAATCGTGTCAGTACATGTATGTAAATGAAGCGGGCCAAAAAAGTCTTGGTAGTGGTTTCAGTTATTAACTCCTTGCCTCCCAAACGTGTTGATTCTCAGCCAAGACATGAACCTTCGTGGCATCTAGTTTACACCCCATGAACCCAGCACGTTCCGTCCACCTCCATTGATCCCCTTTCCGCTCCCTTTCTCGAGCCGTTTCACTCGATTTACCAGCAATCCAACGCAGACTGGGCTGACAACGGTGCAAAGGGTGATGGCCCACGTCACGATCAAGAACACTTCGGAGGGCTGGTCCTGAGCACCCGACCCGCCACTGAAGACACCGGTGCTCTCAGCCAGTGCCGAGATCAGATAGCCAATCTCGCCGCGTGCGATCATCGCAAAGCCGAGGATGCAGGCCGGGTATACCGATACAGGCATTTCCGGCTCCGGAATTGCGTTACTCGGAGCAATTTCGCCTTGTCGGGCGTTGTGGGGCTGTAGAGGCGCTTCACTGGCCTGGCCATCCTGCTTGAGCTGGTCTTGGCCTCGCTGTAGCCGTATCTCGTCGTTTAAAGGAACATCCGTCCTGGCTCCTCTGCACGGCGCTCCAGGGGCAAGCTTCTTGGACTGCTTCTTGGACTGCTTCCTACCCGCGCCGGAGATATTCTTGGCAACTCGCTGCACCATCCGGAGGGGGCTCGCAAAAGATAGTAGCCACACGCCGCAGATCATTTTACCCATCATCATCAGGATGGCGTATACAGCGCCACGCCAGAGAATAGGGCCGGAAAACATTCTTGTGACGGGCACGGAAAAGCCGATGGATGCCTGTATTTTTCAGCATATGTCAATACACAACCGAAGATCGAAGCAACTTACGAAGAAGAACGGTTTGAGGACCTTTTCAACAGCTTTGCCATAGTAATGCTCGTAAACCTCCACGCACGAATTGTATACGTTCGGCTCCCTGACACGAGGGGCTGCATCAGCCGTTGATGAAGTTGTAGCACTTGCCTCCGCGGATGGATCATCCTTGACCGCTTTCGTATCGTCCATCTTCGAGGAAGTCCCTGCCGCAGGAGCTTTATTCTCGTTATCCGCGCGAGCTGCAAGATGGGGCACTTCGCTGTCCCACCAACTGATGGTTGCACCAGCAATGTACGCGGCAAGCAAGCTCGAGGTACCAGCAAATGTGCCTCCAACTACCAGCCCAAAGAGCCAACACGTATGGATGACAAGCGCGGTTTGACGTAGCCGCAAGAGCTCGTTAAGTTTCGAACTGGGGCTCTTCTCGCGCATTGCGTTCAGTCGACGCGTGGCCGGTGCCACGACAAACGCGCACGCCGCCGGCACCAGCGTTGCGAAACCCAGCGAGGCCAGAACTGGTCGGACCACGGCGACGGCGCCGAACTCGCCGCTGCCGCCGCCGAGGTTCGAGACGACCTGAACCATGATCAGACCGACAACGTCGTCCATCATCGCAGCGCTGGTTAAGACAACGCCCATGCGCGTCGTCGACAGGCCGCTGGTTCCGAGCACCGTAAAGGTTGTGCCCAGGCTAGTTGAGCACAGCGCAGCGCCGGCGGCAAAGGCCTGCAGCGGGGTCACGCCGGCCATGGAGCCGAGTGTGAATGAGACGCCGATGGGCACGGCGATGCCGGTGATGGCAACGGCGGCGGAGAGAAGGAGATTCGCCTTGAGAGACTTGATCGAGGTGGAGAGGCCGCCTGGATACTGTCAGCCGGAAACCGATCAGGAATGGCGGCATGCGGCTATCATCAACCTTCAAATACGATCAAGATCAGTCCTAGATAGCCGAGCTGCACGACCGAGTGCTCCATTTCTGCGGACAGCCATTTGGCACCGGGCGTCCCCCAGGCGATGCCAAGGAAGACCTGGCCGACCAGGCCGCAGTAAACGAGCTTGTCGAGGCCATAGTTGACGCTGTTCAGCAGTAGCAGGAAGCAAGAGAGGGCGATGACCGTGGTGATAGCGGGCTCATGGTAGGCCAACGAGGACGCGGTTGTTGCCATCAGTTATGATGCATTCATGCGCGAACGTATAGGGTGTTGACGTTCACAGTACGTTGTACCGTGTAGGAGAAACAGGGCTTTGCTGGAATCCGTCAAAGTCAGCAAGCCAAATCCCCTACCCATCGACTCTGTGATCATACCAACGCAAGAGCTGAGGTTGATCACAGCAAGTCGTGTGAACCAAGAGAGTTAACGCAGTTCTTGGCGTTGATACTGATTTTGCTTGGGTTAAGTAGGCTTGTGGTTTCATTTGATACGGAGTACCAGCTGGAATATTACGTAAGTAGTCAGCCTAACGCATGACATCATTACCTCAAACCACATCCATTCCAGTCTCATTCCAGTGGTCGGTTACACTCCATTCTCCTGTAATTTGCTGATAGGCGGATTCAAACGCCTGGGTTTAAAGACTCTGTGTTTTGTTTACTGACCAATCAGATATCGATGATCACACCCCGAACAGCCGTATAAGCCCCCAGTAAAAATATTTCATAGCAAGTAAAAGTTGAGAAATGTGATAAAAAGTTTGAATATCGAATAGACTGATCCAGCCAGGTATAATAATGATGATAGTACAACAAACGCCTTCCACATCAAGTTCCAGTGTGCCAATCCCAAATGCCCGCTGCCGAATCTCGTGATGTCCAGCCACGATGTGATGCAAATCTCGGATTCTGTAAAAGTCGCTGAGTACTTGTATTTTTGCCGTCCAAATCGCCTTGTCAATGACGTATTTTTATCCAGGCTGTCTGGTTCTCATGCCCCAAGAAGAGGCTCGCGCTCCGTTGCTAATTCTTGTTCTTCTTGCCGTCCTTCTTGTCCCCACCGGACCCGGTGGAGTTGTTGGCAGGCGGAATAGCGCCGGCGAGGTTGAGGCAGGAGTTGTTGTCCGGGTTCGCGAGGTTGATGGTGACGTCCAGCTTCTGGCCGGGGAGAATGAAGTTGGGGTCCGCGATCTTGTTCTGTTTGGCGATATCGCAAATGCCCGAGTTCAGGAGCTTTGCGATCTGGCCTAGGGTGTCTCCCTTTTCCACGACGAGTGTCACGTTGCGGGTGGCGTTATTGATCTGACCGGCGGCGGCGGCGGCTGCCTGCTGAGCAGACGGTATTGACTGTCTCTTTGTCGGGAGGGTCTCAGAGCCGGGGGTTAACAGGTTTGGGAGGCTTCTGGTGATGAGACCTCGGGGGTCTGTCGGGGGATCAGGGTTGGCTATCGGGCTGGCTTGGGAGAGGGTTGTGAGGCCAGCTAGGGCGAAGTAATAGACGGAGGCACGCATGGTGATGGATCTTGTAACGTGCTGTTCTTTGAGATAGATGAGTGATAGGGTTTTGAGTTCAGTAGGTGACAAGACTAGCGAATAAAGAGGGATATTAAGTCACATAAGGATGGGAAACGGTGAATTTATGTCAGCCCAGATAATGTCCCGCAAGGAAGACTGGTCAAGAAGATTTGGTGGGGTCCTAGAAGAAAGTGAGATAGCTTTTGTCCCCCTTGTCTGTTAATGACTCTATATAGCACCCAAACACAGTTCCCTCTCTTCTCAAACAACGCTGCACCCGCTCAAAAGCCGTCATCTGTCAACTAACATGCCAATAATGTGATTGGTTCGCCACGTTGGAGGTTTAAAGTTTGGGCTGCCTACGCGACCGGTGTCAAGCGGACATCTATTACCTCGTTGTAAGTTGTAACTCACTCGATGGACAATAATCCCTGCTGAGCTTGTTACATAAAACCCAGCGATGCGGTAAGAGGGGGCCCCAACGGGCGGTGGAGTGTTCACGGCAGCCATTGTGATGGTTACCAAAAGCTAAAAGTATGGAGACCGGGGGGTTATGTAGGTGAGACTGAAACGAGCAGCGCGGGCGTGCGGGGTCTCATTCGGCGAACTCCGTGTGTCGCTACAGCCTACAGGTTACCTCGAGATCTCCCTTCATTTTCTCTCAGGCGCCTGCTGCTTTGTGTGAGTATGTCTATTGCTTCAGAGTTGGCAAGGGGATAGCTGCTGAGTGTGGGTCAGACACACTTAGCGACTTGAGACGAATTGTATCCTGCCCTAGGTGGCTCACTGTAGGACTACAGAACCCTGCAGCCCCTGGGGCAACACGGAAAGTTCGCTGGACAAGTTCCTCGAGTCAGGCCTTTCCGTCTCGGGGGTCCATAAGCGACCAACGCCATGCAATGTTTGGCGCAGCTTCAAATAGCACACGGTGTCGCTCTGCCTCCCGGTCAAAGGCAAGAAAGAATATCCTCATGGTCTCGTTTTGTAAGGATGCAATGCCCATCTTTCAACCGCGTTGTTTTGGATTCAGAGGCTCTCCTTGAGTATTGATCATCCATCAGAAAATCCTCCTCTACCACGGGGAATGGAAGATCAACATCTGCTTTGACATAGAGCTA